AATCAAACTTCATAAGTGAGTTTGCAGAGAATCTTAAGGCCTGAGGATTGCTTTTTGAGGCCGTAAATTACAGTTCACTGGGCGCACTTGTCAGGAAAAGTTCTGTCTTTTCGAGGCTTCGGTAACATTCGAGAACAAAAACTAATTTTCCAGTAGAAAATTTACCGATAAAGTTACGTTACTTCGAATCGATACACGTTTATCAAGACACGGACAACCGATTTGAACTGTAACATGTACTGTACCTTTCGAAAAGGAAAATAAATTAAGAAAATCGAAATACAAGTTCAAGAAGAAATATAGAACATGTCACAATCCGCATATATTTATTTCAAATGATAAAATAAAATGTAGTTTCAAGACATTTTGGATGAAGAAAAAAAAATCTCTGAATTTGTGAACACAAAACAATTCTTACAAAGTGAGAATTTAAATTTATTTAATATTTTCATATCAGCAGAAGAGGCAGAAGTTCAAATAATCTTTCTGCGTTCGAGTTCAGTGTCAAGCCTGTACTTTTGAACGATAATGACGGAGGAAGTATATAAAAATAAATAGAGGTTATGTTCCATAAAATGGTTTGAAGGAGAAAGATAAACAAGCTTAATATACGTATAAAAATTCGAAAGAGATATTTCTAATAAAAGTGGATTTTAAGGAGATATACGATGGTGAGAGATGAACAAGTTTGTTGAAGTGGTGGTAAATACACATCTCTCGAGACGTTTTAACGCTCTACCACTATCATTTATCTTTGCTGGTGTATGTATAGCAAGGACAGGCACTGCGGAAGTCTTCATACCATAGTCACTGATCGTAACATGTCGGTAATGGGTCACTGCGAGGGTCGAAGATCGAGGTTAATTGAAGCGTTCAAGTGTGTCACTCGAGGAATTTTCATTAGATATCGGTGGTTTACGAATGTGTGTCGATTTTTCTCAATAAAAAAAAAAAATCTCTTGCCCCCGTTTGACGTATATGCGTATACATACATTGCGAATATTAAATAAAAATTGATAAAATGTAAATAAGATATTTTTATCTTATGGATTATAATGATATATTGAATTAGAAGTTTGATTTAAATATATTTCAATGTTTATAAAGTTAAATTTCAATTTTCGTACAGAGGCGCCGAAAATTTAAAATAATTATTTTTTTTGAAGATACACTTCTTTCAATCATCTTCCTCGATGAAAAATAAACATGTGATCGCGATTATATAATAGGGAAAAATGAGAGACATTGATGAATTTGCTTTGATCCACCGGCAAAAGTTGACGAACGATGGAAGAATGTTATATAGGGCAACAGAGATGATTATTTTACATTATATATTGAAAAATAAGAGATAACAATAAATTTTTCAATCTTATTTTGTTGATCGATAAAAAATGAAGAGTGCAGAAAAATTATGTTTCGCAATTAACTTGTTTTGCAGGGATAAAACTTAACGGTGTTAATATTCATCGACAGATTGCTTCATAGTTAGCCTCTAATTTGCATTTACAATTGAGAGGTGATGCACAACCCGCAGTCATTAATTCTAACACGTCGATGATATCAGAGCCGTAGTTCAAGCGTGGAACTAGGGTTAATTGAAGTATTCCTGGAAATTTCTTGAACGATAAGAACTACGTAGAAGAAATTGTGGAAAAACAAATATATCTATTTTTCAACTAAAAAATTCTCAAACTTTTATACTTTATAAAATTGCCGATCGATTAAAATAATCGATTAATCACCGAACAATGATAAAAATTTGACAATCTTATTATAGTAGATAATAATTTTCAAAATAGGCAAAATTAAGGAATATAAAGAAGCCTAGAGAATAATAAAAGAAGATATAAAATTTAGGCAATCCCCAATAAACGTGAAAAATTTAAATTCATCTCGTGTCAAAAATTAATCGAGCAAAGATCAATAATCGCGAAATTCGTTGATTGGCCCGTAATTGGAATCAAAGGAAGGAGAAACGAGGAGGGCAGTGAAACGATCGCGGTATACCAGCGAACGAAGTAGGCGATGGTCAATAAAACATTGACCGCAGCCCGACCACCACTCAGAAACAGGGTGGAAAGGGCTGTGCAAAAAGTGTAGGTCGAAGGTCTCTGCCAGAGGAAGGGAGAGTGGAGTCGGGGAGTGGGAGGGAAGAGGCGAAAGAAGGAAGATAGAGGAAAGAATGAGGGGGTGGCTAGACGGAGCTCTAACAAGTGGCTGCAGTCCGTAACGATCGCCTCCTGTGTCATGCACCAGACACACTCGCGCGCTTTCTCTATCCTAAGAGGTTTAACCAATACATACCAATTCCGCATTTGTTTGCGTATGTATGCACCAACATCGTCGAAGTATCGCTCAACGATTGTTCAACAAAAGTTCGTTCGTGATCGGCCGTTATTTCATTCCCTTCTCACTTGAAATAATTTTTCATCGCGACGCGTCCGTAAACGATGGCCGTTTAATTGGGCCGAACGATCGATCGCTTCTGTTACGTGGCTACGTGTAAAATAAAAATTTTTTTCTTTTTTTTTCTTTTTTTTCTTCTTAAAAAACGCGCCTTTTGACGTTTTTTTACACGCGCGAAAATCACCGAACGTTGTCGAATGAGTTCTGTTATTTAGAAATAAAGCGATCATTCCACTGATTTATGAATAATGAATGCAGCGTTGAAAATGAGGGAATTTGAATTTTTAATTTTCAAGAATTATTTTTTTATTTATTTACATTTACGTATAATATATATTTCTAAGTAAAGATAAAATTGGTAACTCGTGCCAATTATTGGTATTCTAAAATTAGGTATTGGGTATTAGGTATCGCCTGGAAGAGGGGAAAAGTGAAGAGCAAAGTTAGGAAAAAAATTAAATCGACGATTGATAAATTAAATGGATCCTCGATCCAAGAGAATCCATTCGAATTCGTTTGCTCTCCCACTTTTGATGTATCTTTTATGCTTTGATTATGAGTTTCGTGTTTGACTATTTTGAAGGAGGAGATTTTAAATGACAGCAATACAAGACTATCGTCAATTCAGGTTTCTTTTAAAGACACGTCTTCTTTGAAGTTTTACTCGAAAAAGAAGATGGATTGAATTTCACTTGATAAAAGGAGCGGATTTCTCGGTATATATTTTAAGCGATACGATAGGATATTATTATAACTTTTATCTCTTGTTCAATTTTATTTATTAAAAATATATAATTTCTATAAATGAATAATAATGGAACTATTCAAAATATTGTTGAATAATTTCGTTTAATGATCAAGTTAATCCTATCTAATTATTTAATTAATTTATTTCATAATTATCAAGTATTATGTATACTTATTTATCATTTATTTTAATTATTTATAAATATTTAAGATAAAGATTAAATATTATTACTGTCAATAATGTATAAATTATATCGCGTGTATTGTAGTAAGTGTGCATATATACATATATGTGATGAAATACATTTGTGCAATTGATATATACAAATTCTAAAACTTTTAATTATCTAATATTATTAAAGAATTCAATTTAATCAAATGATTTTACTATTATTTAATTAATAATTCTTATAAATTATACTTCATAAATATTAAAATAACAAAAAAAATTTATGTAATAATTTAAATTGACTTACCGCAAAAATAGATACGATATTTACGAAGAATCAATCATTTATAATTTTGAACTGGTCTGGTTATAAAACGGCCGAAAATTTTCGTGATCTTTTTTCATTTCTGAAATTAGTAATGTAGAAGCTAAAAGCAAAAAGAAAATACTCGTTGAATCTCGTAATTTATCACACGACTTGAAATTTGTCACGAAATGACACAGTTAAACGAATTCAATTTTATTTTTTTTTTTTTACTGTATATATATTTAATTCATTATAATTTCGTTTTAAAGTAATTTCCAAAAAATATATATACCGTTTTAAATTCAATCAAAAAAGAAAAAGAGAAAAACTTTTAATTTAATTTTAATTTATTTTAATCTGATCTAGATGTAATACTATAGTATTTTGCTGGCGTTCCGTGCACTAGTCCCGCCGAATTCATTCAATTAAAACTTTTTACAAGTTCTTCACTTGTTACAACGTCCTTTGACTTTTATAGGCATGCTTTTACGTGTACTCACGATCATGCACACAAATTATAAGGTATACGCATACAACGAAAAAAATTCGTCATAATTTTACGAAAGCTCGAAATCGACGCCGCGGCACGAAACACAAGTCATGTTATTCCCGACAAATATACGTTTATATGTAAAGGTTTATATGTATATAGCCACGATTAAAAAAAAAAAAATAAGAATAAAAATGTTAGACAACAGAAGGAGGAGAGACGCGAGAGAACCAGAAAAGAGTACCAAAATATCTGTTACTTTGAGCGCGTGGCAGTTCAGTCGGTCGATGATAGAAAGCACATGCCCGGCGTGAGAACTGTCAAATACAATGATGTTTCTTTTTAAAACTAAAACCTATGGCCTAAAAAAGATACTTTCGTTAAGATTAAATCGATATCGAAGGAATGGTTAATGCTGCACGTTCTTTGTCTTAAGTAACACTTAATCCCCCGCATACACGCTCCTTCTGTATATCTATCCCGTTCCTAAGCGCGACCGGCACGCTTGTTTATCCTCGTCGCACATTCACTAGTTTCTCGCTCGTCTTACATTCACTCTTTCTCTTCGTCATATACGCGGTTCTCTTCTTTCTTTACGAATACATGCATCTGTCCCGTTTATACACTCTTATACACGTGTACGATAACACACGTATATGCAGAGTGACGTTATAGATAAACACGTATACAAGCATGGTTATATTCTATAGGCGATATCGAGTGCCGTGCAACAGAATGTAACGCATCGAGGTAAGCCGGGGTAAGAAGACCTTAACCTATCGCGATTAAAAGCTAGGAATGTAAGCGGCTCAAATAAAAACCAAGTGATTAGAGCAAATAAACATTCTTTTTCTCCGATTTCCGATAAATTGTCTTACCTGCTTTACTAGTGGGTGTAGTGTCTGTTCTATGCTACGGGTCTTTATCTCTAGGGTGGCTGGGTCTACGGGGTCGGGTGTCGCCATGATTCGAACACAACTCCGAGCTCCGTAGACTCGAACCGAGCCTAGAGGGGTTCGTTGTACCCCTCTTGCTTCTCGTGCGTCCTCACTACCCTCTCACAACACTCGTGCGATTCCACTTATTTCCCTAGATGCCTCTCTAGTCGAATCGCTAGCCAATCGTTCTTCTGGTAATCAACGACGCTAGCGACATTCAGTTGGGACGGCCACATACCTGAAACTGCTCGTCGTGTAACTATGCAGCAAGTTTCAAGAAGGAGCGGCAGCGCCATCTTCTGCCAGTCAGTTGATTCATGTGGTGGCGTCGTTCGGAAGCAAGTCGTTCGTTGCTCGTCTTATATTGTGTGTTTTATTACGTTTAAAATTATAAATTTTGTGTAAAATGTAAAGAAAAATAGTGTGTAGTGCGTGTTGTGTGTCCCGAGAACGAAATGCGTGCACTCGAGATGCGTTTATCGTGGAATCAACAATCAGATCGAAAAGAAGGTACGTAACTTTGAATTTGCTCTCGTTTTGCGCGCCATTGCATTGAATATGAATATAAAATTCTGCGTCACATGCTTTGAAATAATTTTTAATGCTAATTACAAATTAATATCGTTAAAATATTGAATAATATATGCACATTCAACTGTTATACATTAATTCGTATTATATTATATCGAAATCGTGTTGAACGAAACATAGAACTGTTAAAAATCATCGAAAAGGTCAAACAGGTATACGATGAAAACACTTGTGGTATATATTACAAGTGTATTATCCTTATCGTGTTAGAAGAGACGTTGCATTTTTTGCACCGTGCATTCGAAATCATGTTTTCGTATTAGAGAAATATAATATACGAGAATATTTTCGTATCGTAAAACTCCATAAAATATATATTTTTGAAGGGATAATATAGGAAGATATATATTTGATTAATATATATTGATAATAATAAAATAGATTTGCTTCTATAAGGATTTTATTTACATAAGTATATTTTCTCGAAATACATACTAATTATAATTACTAATATTATTAAGATTTTGTAAATATTTAGCGATTAATTAAAACATATTCGTAAATGTTGAACGAGGCGAGATACTAATGAGCAACTTTATCAACTTTATTAATAATATAAATTATATCTCGTAAATATATTGAAACTTATACGTATTTGAAACATTAATTTTCGTGAACGATATTTATTTCAACGCTATCGAACATATCTAATATTTGTAAAGCTACACATGACTAGTTCTAAATATACGATATTCTTAAGACGTGTTTCGTTAAGCAGCCACTCTATTAAATAAATAAATATTTTTTTCCGTACATTATTATACAAAAGATCGAATTTTTAAATTGGTCGAGAGAGAGAGAATAACGAATAATAATTATGAAATAAAATATGAGAAATATATGTGATTTTTTGAATTGTAAATAAGTAAATTCATCACGAATTTGTTATAATTTTTCCTACGTTTAAGAAAAAGATTCAATATTTTAAAAGGAACCGGTTTTTGTTCGCAAAATTAAAGATAAAATAAAAAAAATCACATAATTTTCCAAATTATCATTTGCAACTCGAGTGAAATAAGAAAAAAATTAAAAATCCCGTTAGATCAAAATTTTCCTAAAAGATATTTAGAATTAAACATCGATCTCATACGCATACATTAATCGAATAAAAATGAATTTTTAACTCGGTAACGCTCCATACTTCCTTCCATCAAATCTTCGTTCGTTGATTTCTGTCATTTCTGTGCTCATGTATCCTTAAAAACATCCTTTCTACGGAATTCGTATACGCTCAATATTTATTCTACATTTACCTAACGAGTAACAGTGCCCCGAATAGAATAACTATAAAACACTTCTAAGGAATGATTTGAACGTATCTTTCGTCAAACTTATTTCTTCCCGTTAACCAGCTTATTTTGATTCGGTGCCAACGGCGCTCTTCTTTTCACGTGTTTCTTCGGAAGCTCGTCCTTCGAAGGTGGAGCTCCGTTGCAGGCCAACCCGCCCTTCCTTTTCCTCAAAGATTCGGTAGGAAGGTATTCAGCCGGTCTCAACAACTGTCTGAAATTATACGGCCCGTTCATATCCTCCGGATCGTAATCCACCTTGAATATCTCTTGCCGTTTTTGAACGGTAGGTTTCAGAATTTGCCTGAGATCGGTTGGAATCCCAAACGTTTCCTTCTCCACCTCTTTCCTCGCGCCTAATCTACCATTGATAGCGTTCTGACAATTAACCAATCGATCGTTCCTCCTCTTATTGTTGTCCCCGTTCGCCACCGCTTGCCTCGCGTGCTTCCTCGAATTGTCGTTCCCTTTAGCCTGTACCGCAGGTTTAACGTTGCTCTTAACACCGTTGCTTATTCTCGACGGTTTGATCAGATCGTCGCCGATCACCATTTTATTAATGAACAACCCGTTCCGGCAACCGGTCATGATATTTCGATACCCGTTAGCGGAAGGCCCTCTGGCCGCATTGTTCGCCGATGGGTGGTGTTCATTAACCGTGGTCGGATGGCCGTTAATTGTGGTTTCGTTCCCGGCACATCCCTGATGATTATTTAAAGGGACGTGACCGTTAACAAACGCGGCTTGCCCGTTTGTAAAGTTGGAGCAACCCTTGAACGGGATCTGGTGGCCGTTCGGGGCGCGTTGTTGTTGCCGGCCGCCGAATATTTGCTGCCGTTCGTTCACAAAATTGCGTATGTCGATGCGTTTGAATCGTAGGCCGTTTGTATGGTTGGTATTCGAAGGGTCGACTGAGGATTGTCCACGGTGTTGATATCTTTCTGGGAGCCGCATGTCTTTGCAAGCCGCGTGATTAATCCTTGACCTGGAAGAACGAACGAACGGTTTCAATCGGGAGACCTGGCTTCGGTGGTACCAGAGGTACCATTTGTCGTATTTGTCGATTTTAATACTACTTGTGTGTGTATGTGTGCGTGTGTGTGTGTGTGTGTGTGTGGGTCGGCGTAACGAAACAAAGTGTTTAAAGAACAAGACAAGATAGTATATTTATATATTTATATACGATCTATAAGGTGTACTCGAGAATGTAGAAATTTTAATTTATGTTGCGAGTTATGGTAGACTTATTGTTTTTTTTTTTTTTAATGTAAATTATAGTTTCAATTAGATATTATTATAGGTACAAGTGTTTTCTACAATTGTTCTGTTCTGTTTCGTTAAATTAATATCAGAAGTATGGAGAGAGAGAGAGAGAGAGAGAAAAAAAAAGAGATCTTAATCAAAATGATCAACGTAATGTTTTCTCTCTGTATTTACATAAAAAATCTACAAATCAAAAGATATATCTAAACGAAATCGAGTCTCGCACCTCTATAGGTGTGAATACGTTCTACAAATTGCGTAAGTTTGTTATTTTACCTGGAAGTTTGCCATGATACCTCTGGCAATGTACAGAAACACAACGAAAGATTAGTAGAACTTATATACTAATCGAATACGATTAATTAAAATTCGATAAAACCTCCTTATTTGCATGGCGATGCATTTGCGATGAAACTGATAAATAAATAAATAAATAAATAAATAGATAGATAAATAATAATAAAAGAAAAGATAATAATCGAGCGAAGTGTTGGCTTCGATTTAAACTCGAATAAATTGGACCGAGAAGCGAGAAACGAAGAAGGAGAAAGTTTCAATTTACCCCACTCGGTTCTGAAAGCTCTCTTGTTGTTGATTCTCGGTTGGATTTGTCAAAGCTTTGTGCCATATGTCCGAGAGTTGTTGCTCCGTCGCTATCGCAAAGTCGCCCTGAGCTTCCAACCGTTCTCTCCTCTCGGTGTTCACTTCCAGAATCTGTCCCATTTGATTCCTGAATTCGGAATTAATTCTGTCATTTCCCTATTTTATTTTGCGCGAACATCCGTGCGAGCCCATCTATCGTCTTATCTATGATATTCTTAGGCCAAGTTTCAAGCTGATTTCTGATTTCATAAATTTTGAGAGTCGAGGACATTCCTTATAAACGTCTCTTCGGTTTGTTGGATTAGGATTCTACGACAACTTTCAAATAGCAACTCTTACAAGTGTTCAATAGGGAAGCGAACGAAGGATTCAAAGATAATTGGTGTACAAATGAGTATTTCTTACTTAAATGGATTTTTCTAGAGACACAGTCACCCACGATATTAAAATAGGATTGGACGAGTATAGTAATCTAGAAATTTCTAAAATACAAGACTATGATAGTATTCTATAATACTCCAGCAAAAATCTGAGAATCTAATTAATCTGATTCGAAAGAGGAATTCGAATATTTCGAAACTGGAATAAGGATCTATTCACAAATATACAACTCTTCAAGATGGATGGAAAAATTAAAGAAGTGTTGCAAAATCATCTACGAATATACCTCGTCAATGGATGAATGTCATTTTCTAGCTGTATCAACGGTAAGTCCCAGCCAACTTCTTCGTCTTCGAAGTCCGAACCACTTTCGATGCGAGTGCCAAAAGCATTGGAAAATTGAGCATTCGAATTTCACCATTCAACCGTGATGAAAAACGTTTTTAATCGATCGTTGTAAAGGATCGTTATCTATTTACCTGCTCATCTCGTCCTTCAAGTCACGATAGTACTTGATCGTCTCCTCCCCCTCCACTTGATTGCCACTTCGATATTGCAGGATAGGATGCACCATGCTGAATCCTTCCGGCCGGGTGTAATCCGGTGGAGGTTCCTCTATCTCGTTTATCCGTATCCCTGGCTTGTTGTGCCGCAGATTCTTGTGCACTTCTTGATTTTTCATGTGTATCTTTCGTGTGTATCGTAGCATAGCATGGCACAATTTAAATATCACGAGGATTGGACGACATTTATTCGATGGGTGTCAATATATTCGTTTTCTTCTTCTTTTTTTTTTTTTTCTCAATTTAAACGCGGAAGAAATACGAAATGTTTCGTCGTTCACGATTGAATTAACATCGAGGAAATTTTGTTGGATTTTGGTCACGAAGAGAGCAAATAGGCGGATTTATTATATTTGGAAGAAGTTTAAATAATGTAAATTTAACGCTTGATTCTTCGTTTTTGACGAGGTTCGATGTAAAAAAATAAATATTGAATCGGGTATTTTTAAGGAGTCGATTCTGGAGGCCAAATATATTAACACCGTATGCATATTGCGAT